TTTAATTTAAGTTTAATAACGAAATAATTTATTTTTGGTTTAATAATATAACATTTTATAAAGATAATAATTAAGTATTATGTTAGATTTCAATTATTATCCTAATTATGTTTTAGATTTTTTATATTTAAAATGAGATGTTTATCTTGTATTTTATTATGTTTATCTGCAGTTAGTTACACGAATTCAGATATTGAGCTTTAATAAGTTGTACATACGCAAAATCTACTTGCAATCTTGGGTTTTAAGTAATATGCATTAATAAACAATACTTTACGTATAAAAATGGTTTTTAAAAGTTTTTGTCAGATGTTTTATAATATAGTATAGCTAAAGCATAGATGGTTTGGATGAAAGGTTTACAATACGTGCAAGAAAGAAAAAACTTATATAGCAGTTGACGTGGCAAACAAGCAAAATCATGAACAAGAAAAGAGGTCCATGGCTGCAGATGCTTTCAACAATATTTTAAAAGGTCAGTCGTGACGGATGACTTGTGTCTTACGTCATGTTAAATTTGTGACACGTCATGGTATACTGTGCGGTGCTTTTAACGCGACATTTGATTTTAATGTTTTATTTGTTAGTTTCTAATATGTAGCTAATTTAAATGTTTAATATCATTGACTAAGGAGCCGTTTATTAAATGTTTATTCGGGTAAGCGCTTACCAAGTTACATTACCTTACCGGATGATCATGGCAATGACCAAGAATCTTACCCGATAAGAGCAAGGTAATGACCGAGAGTCTTACCCGGTAAGTGAGGACAATGACTCTTATTAAAATATATGATTACAAAATATTATATACTATTTTACAAAGTATTTTATGACATAATAAACAATCATTTTAAATAGTTATATTTACTTAAAAAATCTATCCATATTTAGGGGCCGTTTATTAAATGTTTACCCGATAAGTATTTACTGAACAATTTTTCTCATTGAATGAACATGACAAGGGGAAAAAATCTTACACGGTAAGAGCTATGATAAAGATGAAGAGTCTTACCCGGTAAGTGAGGGTGATGACTCTTACCCGGTAAGTGCTTACTAGGTAAATTGTTGCATAAATACGTTTTGATGTACTACAATTTTACCCGGTAAAATAAATTATAGTGTTGACTCCTAACGGTAAGTGTTTACTGAATAAACATTTAAATAAACGGCCCCTTAGTTAAAAATATCTATAAAATAGTTCTAGTAATTTATAAAAATTAATTGTAAATAAAATTTTAGTGTTTCGTATTATATCTTACACCTATGTACACTTTATACTAAAAATCAATTATGATTAGCGTTTTTCGTGTTCTTTTACTTTGATTTATTATCGTTTGAAGTTCCTTTTTTGGTTATATAACTCCACGAATCTCGTTATGGATAACTAAAAAAACAACTAACTAAAAGTAGTCGGATTTTAACGAATTTGTCCCAAATTTCCACTCGGGTGTCAATTGACGTGAACGTGATAACAAATGTAAATTACAAAAGAAGTCCCTGAACTACTACAATTCACATCTTGTAGATTTAATTCATCGCTTCTTTCCTTTCATTATTGGTCCAAAATCAGTATTTCACAACGAGAGCAGTGTTATATCGTTCTGATTATCCTTCAAATATGCCCGTATTGATATGTTGCCTTATACGTAGATAAGCCATATGATATGTAAATTATGTAAAATATCAGTTAAGAAGCAACATGAACGTTTTATAGTATAGTATTATTTTTATTATTTTTACTGATTTATCAAGAAAACAGTCATAAAGACAAAGAACACTGACGATGAAGATGGGGATTGATGATACACCAACTGAAAATCCATTGAGTTTTAATGTAGATGGTGATTGGTGACTATCGAACGAGCACAAAGCAAAACACACTTTTTTGAGTTTAATGAAGATGTTGATGGATGACGAGCAATAAATGAAATCACGATTTATGTTTTTTTAAGTGGGTATTTATAATCATAAAAAAAAGTTTAGGAGTACGTTATATTAACACTTTTTACACTGTAAAAATCCATAAATTCTTCTTTTACGTATGTAAGAACGCTAATAGATATTGACCTCGGTTTTGGGTCGTAATTTTATTTTGGATTTTGGATTCTGTCTTTGATACTTGTAAAAAATCCAAAAAAAAAACCGATGAAGATGGTCAAAGACGAAGATGTTAAAAACAAAGGGTAAATTTGTCATTTACATTCGTGCTAATCACATGGTTATAAAAACACCTACCTAACGTTATTCAAGAGTGGACAAGTCGAGGATGTTTGGTTCTTATTGCGAAAACCCTCCAAGAAAAGTAAATGGTGTACGTGCTTTTATTCAGCTGGAAAGCGACACAACATCACCGTCTGGACCCCATCTGCACTAACATCATGTCAAATCTAAAGAACTCGATAATTTTCTACGTTCGTAATTTTTCATTCGTAATTCAAATTAATACGAATTTCGTGTGTGTTTTAGATCTACGTATTTACAGAATGTGGAGATCCATTGAACAATTATTATCTTGCAATCATCATGTAACGATCACGAGATTATAATTTTCCACTCATAACTCAGTTCAAGATGCATTTTTTAAAATACTCTACATGCGGGAAAAACTTGGAGATCCATCAAGAAACCATCAAGTTGTAATCTAATTCTATCGAATTGTAATCGTGTAACCATTTACAATGTCATAACTTTTCACTCATAACGCAAATCAAGATGGGTGTTTTTTTGAAGTTGCTTACTTTTTTGAGATCTACATTTTTGGCAAAATCTGAAATACGTCAAAAAACCATTAAGAATGTTATCGGGTATTCGTGAGTATGGTGAAAACCAACCGAAGAAATTTAGGAAGACAATTATTTGTTTACCGGATGAATATGGCAAAGACCAACAATCTTACCCGGTAAAAGCAAAAGCAAGGACCGAAAGTCTTATCCTGTAAGTGAGTATGACGACTCTTACCACAGTTAGCACTTACTCGGTGACTGTTGCATAGGATACTGTTTTGGTGGACTAAAATCTTATCTAGTAGTAAGTGATAGTCTTGAATTTGCCGGTAAGCCCTTATCCAGGTAAGCGTTTGATAAACGACCCCTGAGAATATGCTAAGGTGTTTTGGTTTGACGAAATGTCTTTGAGTGGTTTAGATTTCTTAGAAGGATTTGGAATCTTTGGTATGCTTAGTTTGTAGAATTTGTAACAAAATTAAATTCCAGTATGTATAACTACTTTCATGGGATTTCTACATCCGCGATTGGAATGGAACCCAGTTCCAAATCCTGCAAACCAAACGAGCCCTAAGGACTCGTATTTTAGAAAGAACACGACTTTGGAGCATAGTTTTCCAATAATCGAAACTTGAAGCATATCTCTAGTATAAGGGGCTTTTATTGAGCATATGAACTCAAACCGCTCAACTAAAATGATTAAAGAAATACACGAAAAATAAAACAAGACCTTAGATCAGGCCTAATACGAGACTTTAGACGGGCCTTAACCAATGCCTATTTCTCAATAGGAACTGGGTTTGTATACGAGCCTCAATATGATCAGGATTAAACCCGACTATTCATATTTAGTTCCAACCAGCATTTTTTAAAACTAAAATTTCAGTCGTTGACATAAATAGATCCTAATCATATAGAGGCTCGTATAAAGGGGTGACATTAATTTAGCAAAACATTCACTACAACACAAAAGTAGTCATTATAAGCCATATAAATGTCTTCCCCAAATCGTCTCCCAACTTTTCTAGTCCACCTTCTTTCTTAATTCGAGTTACGGTGACTCAATACTGAGTTATGAGTTTCTTTATTAGTATTGTGTTATTGATCTCTTTGTTTGGAGAGAAATGGGGAAAGGAGACATAGAGAATAGAATCAAACCAATCCAAATAACGTCAACCGATCATACCCAAAAGTACAGGTATAAATTGGTTGAAATCCAATGGTTTTAATGGATCTGATTCTATCAATAATTGGATATTGGATCTTGCCATCAGATCCAGTCCAATAGATGATTGGATTTGGTTGGTTCCATCCGTTAGATATTAGTATTATCATGGTTATTCGTTGGATTGGATTTGATTTGTTAAATATTTTGATATAATTTTCAACTAATTAATTCACCATTTCAACTAATTATATATATATATATATATATATATAATAATTAAAAAAAAGTTTTATTTTACTCTTATGGGATTAGTCCCCCCTCTAGTCACTTACGAAGGTTAACCCAATGGTCTAATCCGTTTTAACGATATCCTCCACTCTCTCGCCAGTCGTTCCCCCAGTCATTTAATTGTTTTGTCACCACAAGTTCTTGCAATCATGCTCCAATGCTAACATTGGTTGATGGTTTTGTTAAATATATCGCAATTTTCTTGTTCTTTGGTTAAAAGATAAATCGATTCATCTAATGTTTACTTTATATATGCTCAACCCAATTCATCTGGAAGGAAATTATATAAAATAATAGTATATTCTGCTATTCGGTAAACCGATGATTGAAACCGAAACTTACCTTATTGGGCTAACTGAACCGTTTGACCAACAAATGGAATAACCCGAAACTGTTTTCGTTCTGATGAATCATCCGGTTTCTGACTTTTTTTATATCTAGGACCCCCGATCACCTAAGTTCTTGGATTCGCCACCGGTTACAATTTTAAGCAAAACAAAACACATTTCAAACTGTTTCTTGCTTTATGTTTATTATCGTTATTATCTGATATGAATAATTTAATATCATATAACTTTGCAAAACACACATCCAAAACACCCATATGGGTTATGTAACAGGCAGTCAACATACGTGGGTTTGCAAAATTCGAAGGAATTTGATGAAATTGGAATGACAAATTTCAATTCATTTGTTTGGTTCATTTCTTGAAATGAATAGAATCATTCCAATTCTATTGAATTCCACAAATCAATAAATTCGTCATTCCTTGACATAATGGAAGGAATTGAATTCCATCGCCATCCACCATGACCATGCTACTATTGTTCGTTAATGAGTTTGATTATTTAGTGCTTTACGTGTCACGCAATGTGAAATCGATAAATTGAGTTGGCGACAAAAAATTGGGGTTTTGTTTGGGAATTGGTTAATTCGGAGGTTCCACTTTGTAATAAAACCAAATGAAAGGACCACTATTAACAAAATGTAACAAAAACAAGGACTATATTTGCCAAACATTAAAAGTTAAGGGGCTAATAATAATAAGTAAGGTCGCAGCGACCAAAATCTGTAAGTAAGGTCGCAGCGACCAAAATCAAACGTTGTTGTTCCTGTAACAAATGGTAAGCGAAACCCCCGTAAATGAAGCACAGCCACCGTCATCGGCGGCAACTCCTCCCTCAACGAAGCGTCCTCGCGAGGATGCTAATGAGGAGGATCAAGATTCGCTAACTGCCGCCGAAGTGCAGCCAATAAAACGTCGGGCAGTGTTAGGGCAGGATATTTTGTTCAGGATATTGTTGCCGTCGAAACAGATAGGGAAGGTGATTGGTAGAGGAGGACACCGTATTCAGAAGATCAGGGAGGAGACTAAAGCTACTATTAAGATCGCGGACGCCATTGCGGTTGGTTAATTGCTCCTTATATACATATGTTGTGTTATGTAATGTGTATGCACATATAATCGGAAATTAGTCAATTTTTGTTTGTGGATGAGTGATCCATGTGAATAAGTTTAGGTACAATCCGGGCGGAACTGTTAAAAGGAGAATTCTTTGCTGCTATTTGAATATCTATTTGTGTATGCTTATATATCGATGTGTTTGGGTTAAAATTAGTGTGTTTAAGTTGTTTGGCATTAACTTCATTTAAATAAGTGAAAATTGTAGAATTATATGGACATGAACCATGTGATGGAGGAGAACTCATGTAGTTATTCACACATGTATATGGGAATGAGGGAAAGGGGATTTGGGTGATCACCTGCAATGGGTACTACTTGAAAATAAAGAGATAAAGCACACACATTTTGCTACCAATATGAACCAAACGTAGTAAACCCACCCGGAAGTCTGTTGGGGGTAGGATATACACATACCATACCTTCACCTCAAGAGGTAGGGAGACTGTTTCTGAGGAGACATCCGACCTGCGAAAGATATTAGGAACACTTAGCTAGAGACTTCAACTTAGAACACAGCTTTTTTTAGAAGGCAACTTTAAAAAATATTGCGAAGGAGAAAAAAGATGAGAAAAATTTACAAAACAAGAAAATAGGGTGAAGGTTCAGATGGTGGAGACAACTAAGCCAACAAGTCCTAGCTAAAAGCTCATGGGATATTCCAAGGATCCCCTCCCCTAGATAACCTATGTCACATCAAACCTATCTGAGTTTTTCTCTACCCTCCTCCATGTCACCTCCACCTTTTCCTCCAACTTGTAGAATCTAAAAACCCATACAAGTATTCCATTACCCTTATCCACTGTCTCCTAAAGCTCCTATATGAGATCATATCCTCGCAAAGTATTTAACAATGCCATGCCCATTCTCAACTGTTAGAACCACGTCCTCATTGGTTTGTCTCACTTCCTCACCCCCTTGATCATAACACCCTCCACTCTTCTCACTGGTGCCGTGGGCTTCCTCCTGTGGACTTGCCCAAAACACCGCCAATTTTCCATCTCTCAATCTATCTGGGATCAGTACAACTTGTAGCTCTGCTCTGAGAACCTCATTTCGTATCCTATCCAACATGGTCCGACCGCAGGTCTACCCCAAAATTCTATTTCTGCAACTTCCATTTTCCTCTCACATGCCTTCCGATCGTTCAATACTCGACCCATACAATGTAGGTGGTATAATGGCCACCCTGTAGAACTTGCCTTTCAGTTTTTGTGAGATAGTAAGTGAGAATTGGTATGTTTAACTTAAATTAGTTGATCACTAAGAATAATTGGGAGGATGTAGACCATGTGATGATTTAGGTTAAATCGTTAAAGTTGAAGATAACTATGTATATGTAAAGTTGTTTGTGTGTATACACACACACATATACATATATATATATATATACACACACACATATACATATATATATATGTATATATATGTATGTATATATATATATGTATATATAAACATAGTTCCACATGCATAGAGAACTTTGTTGGCTTGACTGCCAATTATATGGACACTTTCTTTGATCATATAGGTAAGATGGGGAACCATGTGCTCTTGTATGTATAAACAAACACGTTGAATGAGGAATCCCGTATCATTGTAGTAGCAATCAAAACCCAGCAGTATGGAGAAATATATGGATTAACTATCTTATGTGCTGGTGATAAGACATGGCCATCCTATTTCTTGATTCCAGTTCTCAGGGAGCTTTAAGACTTGGAGGCTTCTTTAACTGGCTTTGGATTGTTTCTTAAAAGACATTTTCAAATCTGATGTTTATCCTTCTACAAAAAGGGATAATCAAGTTAAGGGAAATAACAGTCCCTTTCCTGACCCATTCTCTAGTATATTTTGACAGCAAGAATGTTAAATGTTTTGACAATGTGATGACAAGTAAAGAGCAGACTAGCATATCTTAATTCGTTTATTTGGAGTTCCAACATTGTTGTGGCATTTTTTTTATGTATGATACTATATGTGTTTAATGTTTATACTAGAAGGTCGTGAGTCCTTTATGCAAGTTAGAATCTTATTATATAAGGCAACCAAAGTTCGGTTTTTTTATTAGGAAAAAATTATTAAGAATACTGTGCATATCTACCTCTTAATATCTGGTTTGTATGTTCCGTATGTATGTTCTTATAATCTATTGGCTTTTTTTGTATTGCAGCGACATGAGGAGCGCGTAATCATCATAAGCTCTAAAGACAGTGAGAATACTTTTACAGATGCAGAGAATGCTCTCCACCAAATTGGCAGTTTGGTTCTCATGGTGATGTGATATTCAATCTCAAGTTTAAAAGCTTTATTTTGTTGTTGCCCTCTTCAAAATGTAACTTCATCGTTACAATGCATGATACTTAATTCTGCTCTTTAGAAGCCATATTTAATCAAAACCTATCATCTATGTCATCTGTTGAGTAGAGATGATGGACCTCCTGATGATTTATCAGTATATGTCTGGTGAGAGTTAGTTCCTGATGCTTATATATTTTTATATATTTTATTCTTTATGTTAGGATATCAGGATATGTGCTAATGGGCGATGCACAAATTCCACTGATAGATGAATACATGTGAAACTTTGTACAGACAAATCATCACTACAATCGTTATTATTAAAGGCAAAGACTTTTCTTTTACTAGTACATTGTGTCTTTTTCTAGCTACTAAAGTTATTTCCTTTCTTAATATTGGCCCTTTTGATAGAACAGATGTAGATCAGAGAAAACTTGGTCGGATTAGCTGATTAGGGCTGTAGGTGATGCCTATTCAGCACTTGAGCTTCTTACTTAGGGGAGCTTGAGGTTCTGTTTGGTCATATGTGCAGGCTGATACGGATGAAGTCAGGTGGGTCACTTGACTAGGACCTTATCTCTTCTTTGGTGGCAAAGCGGAATAGATTTCGTACTTATAAGGGAAGGAGAGCTGTTTTACCTTCTGTTTGTGATTGAGAAGGACGTGGTGATTGGTGGCGTGCTTCTATGGCGTTGCTCATTTGGAGGCTAAAGGTAAAGATATCAGTTCCTTTCCTCCTTCCATCTCCCTTCTGGAAGGGTTCCCCTCTCCCCTTCTCCAATTCCCATCCCATCCTTCCCTCCCCTCCCCTCCTTCCCATCCCTCCCCTTTCGTCCTGTCCCATCTCCTCCCCCTCCTCCCATTCCATCCCTACTCCCTACTTTGTGACAAATAATTTTTTCTGTTAGTAGTGCGTATTTCTAGTTTGAACTGTGGTGAATATTGGTTTACTTGTGTATTGACTGACACTAAAATCTTTACAAAACACACTTAGTTTGTTTGGAAGTTTTGTATAAATGGCAAATTGCACCAAAATGGAACTAACTTTGCACTCATTCCTATTTTGGGGAACCAACTTTCTAAAATATTCATTCTATGAACCAACTTTCAGAACTTCTCATTTTGAGGAACCAAATGGACTAACTTTGCTTTCATTCCCTATTTGGAAGAACATGAATTTGGTCATTGGGCCCCTTAAATGGGAAGTTTTGGAAGTTGGTTATCCAAAATGGGGGAAGTTGGTTTCTTAAAGTAGGGACGAAAGCAAAGTTAGTTTCATTTTTGGCAATTTTCTCTTGTATAAGAATCATAGTTTTGCAGACTCCCACCTTCCATATGGTATTTTACCATTTGGCTTGCTCTGGTGTATGGTAGAAATATTGAAAATATTTTCTCATACTAGTAACGAGATTTCTGGAGGTACCATCTATTTTTTTGGATTGTTGATTTGGTTTGAGTAAAGATTAAAGCAAGGGGTTTGGTAGCTGCCCCACCCCTACCCGCGAACAAAAGCAATCCCTATTCCTTAACAGTTTCATCAGACATGGGCCTTGGTGATGGGACATATTTTTTCTTTCTAAAATCTACCCTTTTTTGAATTGTTAGTAATTTTAAAATGCTCTGCCTCTCCAAATAATAATTGACGAATCAAGTGCCTGGTTCTTTTATTGGATGCAATTATACGAGCTTGCAACAAGCATCAGATGACGAAAGTTTATATTGGCAAGTAATCAACAAGGCTGGCCCGATTGTGAAAATGTGAGAGTTTGTGAACTTGATAACATTTTTTGTCTTATCATCTCTATGGTGTTTCGGAAACAGATTAACCCCAAATTACTATTTTTACTATTTACACTAGTGGTGTTAACAGGGAAGTTCAGTTTTATTTTTGACCGAACAAAATCCCACTGCATTCTGAGATTCTAAAGGATGCAAATCTGCAACATGACTCACAATGCCCACACACCACACCCGTTCATTGGCATGGTCAAACCCAATTTATTGGCATGTCGCCATATTATCCAAAAAATGTGTCAAGCTGGCATAGTGGTACTTATCAATGTCCAAAGGCATGAAACACTTACATTAGGCATCCAACAACATGAACAAGAGGGACAACGAAGAGAGATGTATAGGGACACACAGAGGTAGAGACATGTAGGGAGACAGAGTGAGAGAACAGGAGTTCTGTCAGTTTGAAATTTGGATTAGCTTTAAAGCCTCTGTTCGAGTTGTTGCCTTGCTGGGTAGATTTTGTGTTGAGTTTCCAGGGTAAGGATACTAAAAGTAGTCTACATGGATTAGTCGCATAATCATTGCTAGAAAGTTAGCAACCTGCCATGGTAACAAGGATTCCCACATGTACACAGCCCAGCATGTCAGGCTGTCCAAACGAGTATATAGGTATGGCCGTATGGTAGGAGTTTGTCTACTCAGGTCATAGGTATCTCAATATAATAGGGGTTTTCTACCTATATATGTAGCCATATACTTCTTCCCACAATAAATGCATTTTACTTTCTAATATGAAACCTAGTACTTCCCAAATCCAGAACTAACATGAAGTCTCATACAATATTAACACCTATACTTTCTCCTCTCTGTTAGCAGTACCTTTAGTATAGTGTAAGGGGGTTTGTCAACATACATGGAAAATTGTAAATTCATATCGATTACAAAGTCAAAAGCAGTGTGTATGCTCTCCATTTTCATTGTGAGATGGAGAAGCATGTTCAATTACTTATGCATGCATGCTTATGCGATTTTCAATTTGAAGTTTCTCTCATGCTATGCTATTTTTGGTAGTTTCTAAATTTTCTTTTAAGTTGTGCATGTAGGTGTTCCATTTCCTTTATCGTCTTTCATTCTGCTCTGCTTCTGTTTTATCTTTTCAAGCTTGTCTCTCTTGACAGACTTCTTATTTTGCTTGCTACTGATGTAATGAGTACCTACATGCTATCTTATAGGATGATCAGAATGTTGAAGGACTGAAAGTTTCAACAGGGCATGTGGCAGCAAATACAATAAGACTATTAATTTCTGGTTGCCAAGCTGGTGGTTTGATTGGGGTGTCCGGTCAAAACATAGGTCAACTAAGGAATTCTTCTGGTGCAACAGTTACCGTACTTGCTCAAAATCAGTTGCCATTATGTGCATCTGCCCATGAATCTGATCGAGTAGTGCAGGTAGTTACCGCATGTTCTCTTTTTGGATTCTAACAAAAAGAAAATAGAGATGGTGTTAGTTGTCTTCTATTAACAGATTGGAAAAGCATCGTTCTAAATAACTCGTTATGGCCTCGTTATGGCGTCAAGACTTGTGTTCGCCGCCACGTTAACCCTTGTGGCTCCACTCTAAGGCTTGGCTTCCATTGTAATGCATTATGGCACATTACAACATGTTATGGCTTGTTACAACACGTTATCTTTTTAGGTGCGGTTTTTTTTTTTAATATATAACTTGAGGGATAAATGATAATTATGTACGAGGCGTAACACTTAAATTAACATAAAAAGGGAACTTAACAACTAAAAGCCTAAATAGGTAAATACTTACTATCATTCCCAAACACGAAGAGTCGAACACGAATTCTTTGAAAATTGAAGAAAGAGGTGAGTTGAGATTCAAGAGATTTAATCCCGATTTTGCACCTTGATATCATTTTTTGTAACCTTTATATATATATATGGTAACAATGATTCTTATTTCTTTTTTGTTTTATTACTTTATATGATTTTAATTTGTTCTACGTTATTATTCAAAACACTATATATGTAGGTGGAGGTTCAGACGAGAACACCTCCATTTTACGAAACAAGAACACCCTTATCACACGTGATAATACACGTGAAGGGAATTGGTGGTGTGCAGACGACGTGTCGTGTGACCTAGGTCGCGCCAAAAGTCGTTTGCATCTCTGATATAGTATCACATGTGGTGGATTGTAGTATTACATAAAAAACACCCTTATCACGTGTGATGTAATACACGTGAGGGGGCCTAGCGGTGTACGCATGTCCGAGCTACTTAGCCCACAACCTAGGTTGCGCCAAAGGTCGTCTGTGTCTTTAATTTAGTATCACATGTGATAAAATATAATATCACATGTGAGTTACTATAATAAAGGGCTTTCTCGCAAAAAGAAGGTGTTCTCGTTTGAATCCTTCCCTATATATATATGTTAATATATATATGTGTGTGTGTGTGTGTGTGTTTGTATATATATATATATATATTAATATGTATATGTGTGTGTGTGTATATATATATTGCCGCCTTAAGGCACGCCTTGAAAAACGCCGTGGCCTCGCCATACTCGTAAGGCTTGAGGCTTGACCTTGCCGTCACCATGCCTCACGTCATTTAGAACCTTAATTGGAGGTCATGTTTGACTATATGAGCAGAAGACAAGTGACACCAAATGTGCCATCTTAAACTATTATAAGATGATCTCTAGAATAAGACTCAGTTAGTACGTAGTAGTATATTTTTAGCCATTTTATTAATACAATTAAATTAGTTAGCCTTTATAGTGGTTAGTTGCTTAGAAGTTAACCATCTTTGTTTGCGGACTTTCTTAGAATGATCATAAAACTTCTTAACTAACCCCTTTGATTGAAAAAAAATTATTGTGCATCCTACCTTACTAAGCATTACTACCCGCATCTAGAAGTAGAAACCTGTCTTTATATAATTACTACTGATAGTATACTATCTTTGTTCTTCCATGTCGTTTGTAACTAAGGTACAGCCAGCACCGCTCCCCCCGAGGAAAAAAAAAAGATTGATCCTGTGGCATGCTTGTTATTATATATAATAAGAGATGATGTTTTTTTTTGGCATGTCATTCTATGGATCCCTTATTCTTGCAATTAAATTATATGTACATTCTTTCCTGTATACAGGAATCGGACCCTGAATGGAGAATTCACGTCTAAGATATGTTGATGCTGAACCACAGAATTTTCACAAAAATATTAAACTAGGTCTTATGAATTATCTTTAGATTTAATCAACTATAAATACACATGCAAAGCCATAGCTATGCATCTCTACTTGGCTACTGTGAAATGGTTGTCCCTACCAGAATTAGTGGAAAAGCAGCCCCTTGATCTATTTGAAGTAATAACAGTGAGAAACTTAATTTTATCTTACAAATATGTGATTTCCGAACTTAAAAGAATACTTTCTAGAACAAAATATTGTTTTATATATATATATGGAAGGTTGGCGTCATGAATGTGTGTTATGGCACTTAATATGGGACAGCAGGAAATGATTATGTATCATAAGGTACGCAGGTACCTTTCACTACCATTTGTCATTTTCTCCATAATTATTACGAGGCCTTAACCCAAACTTGATGTACCATACATCTAAAAGCTGTAGGTTTCCCTACATATATGTATATATAAATCTTGTTCGACTGTCTTTTCATTTGCCTGATCCTTACTTTTTTCTTCAACTTCTTCCCCTAATACGAGTGTATAAATGTGGAAAATGTAGATATCAGGAGATGTTCCTGCAGTGCTGAGGGCACTGGTAGAGATTGGATGTCAGCTAAGGTTTGGCTTTTCAGGAATTCTACTTTATCACATGGATCTAGTTCATATTAATTATATCTTTTTTATGTAGGGATAATCCACCTAAACAGATAATCTCCATCAGCCCAACCTATAATCTAGGTTTCATTCATCGTCCACCTCAACAATACGTGGACCCTTCTTCAGGTTATTTAGTGCATCTCACTTCAAGCTCTTTGTATTTTCCACTGTTCCTATTTGCTGTTGTGTTGAATTGTAATGTCATACCGTGTTCAATCTATCTTGCAGCTGAATATGTAACTCTGGAGATGATGATTTCCGAGACATTTATTGGTGGATTGATTGGGAGATGTGGATCAAACATATCAAGGATCAGAACGGAGTCAGGAGCAACAATCAAGGTATTTAAACATTTGATGTGTAACCTGTATTTTGCAGGATAACCATTTTGTTGGAAGAAAAATCCCTGCTTGAGTCTGATGATCTACATAATTATTAGTTGCGTTGTGTTACTTAAATGGAAGTATTACTAATTTTCTTTAAGTTCCTCTTTTGGTGATGTATATGTTGGTGATATTTGTGTCATCAAACGTTTTTGGTGTAATTGAGATTGACTAGAGATAGAATTCAAGGTTGAGCATTAAGACAAGTTTGGTGGTGCAGAGTGCATGCTTGTATATGCCACCTTGAACCTTAATCGCCATATGACGGGGGTAAGGGGAAGCGCCCCTGGCGAGTTTCCAAGGGGCAGAGCCCTTTGAAGTGGTTATTGCCATTGGGTTTTTCGTAATCAGTTTCAGTGGCAGTGGATCAGCATCAGCTGCTGCACATAAGCGGCAACATCAGCTGGTGTCCTCAGTTGGTGCATTCAACTGGTGATGACATTTGTAGTTGGAACTGTTTTGTAACCTCCCGTAATCACTATAATAACTACCTATAAGGGTAATTTCTGTCTCATTTTATATATATGTAACAACAGAGTAATCTTGTTGAATACTTGTTTTTTTTGCCTAGGAACGAGAGTGAGAGTTAAGATTATCCCAATACATATTTCGTGTAACCTTAGGCTTGAAGGGTTGAAATATTGTATTTGGAAAGTGTTCACGATACACGATCCTAAGATTTTATCCTGGTAATCATCGTCACAAACCCAGATTTTTTCACAGTACAGGCCTGCAATACTCCAATAATTGCTTTTATGTAGTCTGATTGTTAATGAGTTTCTACTCTACCTGTCCTAGATAAATGTCTACATAAAATTGATTCCCACACACCCATATGGTAAATTATGTGGTACTTCTCTCATCACCTCTTCTGATCCACAAATAAGCACTTGTGTCTCATGGTGCCTTCTGTATGCACCTTTGGGATCACAAAGACATCATCATTGACCGTATTGGAACATCTGATATATATATATATATATATATATATTGTTACGATGAATAAATGGAGAACAAGTTGTGACTGCTGTCTGAGGGATCGTAGCTGTTGCATCACTGTCAAGCATTATTGCACTCAATGTAGTTTTTCTTACTTTTTGGCGATCTTGATAAGACAGTGCTTTAGATTTTAAATTTGTGGATCTTATATTTGCATAAATGCATGTGGTGTTCTGTAGTTTTTGTTGATATTTTTTGTGAGTTGACTTCTGTCTCTGATGTCTTGCAGGTTCATGGTGGGAAAGGTGAAAACAAGCATAGACAAATTCATTTGGGTGGTAGTGCCCAACAGGTTGATACTCCTTAAACATCTTTCCTTGGGGTGTGGGAAAACTGCTTCGCTTTATTCTAATTGAGTTGGTAACATGTTCTTTTTTTTAATCAAGGAAGGATCGATAATAGGGATATGGTATACTATGTGATGAGTGTCATCACTTTCGAGTTCTCAGTCCATTAGTTGTGTTCTCTCTCACACAATAACTTATCTTGTTTCTTTCATGGACATCACAGTTATGAGTTGATATACAAATGTTATATTTAGCTGGGAAACCTAAAATCAATGCCTGATGTCCCTGTGAGAATACATGGTACCCCAGGTCACTCTCCAAAAGAGCCCTTTAGGAGAAATGGGAGGTTCCACCATATATACAAGAGAAATGGTCCAAGTCTAGCCGATGTGGGACTCCAACAATGAAGTAAAATAAAAAATGTCATAATTAAATTTGATTAAAGTGTGTATTAATCTTGTGCCAAATAGGTTGCACTGGCAAAGCAGAGAGTTGATGAGTACATATACACCCAGATGATGCAGCAAACTGGTGGTCAGCAGCCAATGTAAGTTTCAATGTTTCATGATTTTAGTATCTTGTCTTGACTTGGTTTTTTCAAAACCATTTTTCATCAGTATTTTTTCATGATATTTAGTCTTACATATCGGCAAATGTCAATAGAATAAAATGTCTTTGGAGGGTTTCAACGCCATCCATATCGCGCTTCTCATCTGGAGGGGAACCAAAAACACTTCCGCACTTTTGATTTTTGGCATCATTTCCTGTGACCGCGTTCTTCTTGGGACCTTGCTCAGGGTGTCACAATTCACAATTTATGCTTTTAGCCTTTAGAAGCAAAAAGAACCCCCCCACTTACCTCTAGTATGAACCATTTACGGTCTTGACCCAATGCTGGCAACACCTTTTTGGCATATCTTGTGAATTTCTCCAGTCAAAACTTTTCAGTCCACGCCTTTTTGGAAAGTCAGGGGTCTTCATGGAAACAACTGCTCTACTCCCTGGGGTAGAGGATAGGTCTGCATAAATCCTGCCCTCCCCATGCCCTACCTACTAGCGGGATATGCTGGGTTAGTTTGGTTTGATTTACCCAATGCTGGTCACCTTATTGACACAAAAGGCTGGTTTCTTATTTTTCTCGTCTTATGTTCACCATGTGCTAGTACGTGTTGCTCACACGCTTGCACTAGTCGTGGGGTCTTCACGGAAACAACCGCTCTGCTCTTTGGGGTAGAGGTCAGGTATGCGTACATTCCTCTCCCAGGCCCTACTTTTGAGCGGGATATACTAGTCAGTTTAGTTTGGTCTATTTTAGATTGGTAAATATTGTGAGACCTTTAGTGGTGGCCACTGTTACAAAATGTATCAAGCAATTAAACTGATTGGCCCTATAATATCTTCAAGAAGATGCACCATGTGTGTGTGCGTGCGTGTTATTTTTTCCTTTTTTTCTTTATATTCGTACATGTATGGTATTTAAAAGTAGTAAGCTCTACGCTACCAATAGAATTACAATATGCATATGCTTATACTTAATGGGTAACACGAATTGGATTTCAAACATGAAAACCTGATTCAGACACCAAAAAAGAACCATGCTGAACCACAAGGGTGGTGCTTGATTGGTTTGAGTTTGACTCCAAAGGTCAAAAGTACTAGGAGTTCCCAGGTTCAAATCCAAGAAGGAATAAAAATCCCTTTGTGGCCACGGAGGTTCAAATGCGGTTACTCCGGGCTATCTGCAAAGCAGGTGGTCATCCTGGGATTAGTCGGCTAGCATAGCGGGTTGGATATCCAGGTTAATCAGAAAAAAAAAAGAACCATGCTGTCTATTATTATGTATCTACTTGTGTTGTTTGACCTTTCTACTGTGTGTTATAGTTGTCAGTAATGCGCTTTGTATTTCCTTGTTTGTTTTAGGGCAAAATGTAACAAAGTTTGCCTTAGAGGCTATTTATTAAATGCTTACCGGATAAGCGCTTGTAATTTCTCTTGCCGTTGAGCACTTACCCAATAAGTGTTTGGTAACGGCCTCTTAGATCCTATTTAGGGGCCGTTTACCTAACACTTACCCTGTAAGCGCGTACCAATAAAATTTCAACACTATCATTTACTTGCCGCGTAAGATTTTAGTCAACAAAAACGGCATCATATGCAGCAATTTACCTAGTAAGCTCTAACCATGGTTAGAGTCATCGCCCTCACTTACCGCGTAAGACTCTCGGTCCTTGTCTCGTTCTTACGGGATAAGATTCTTGGTCTTTGCCATATTCATCCTGTAAGGTAATGTGAGTCGATAGGCGCTTACCCGGGTAAGCTTTTGTTATAGGGCTCCTTAGTGTAACAATTTCCCCCCCTCTAATCAATGCAAGGGAATTCCAAATTTCTTTTTTAATGTAGCAAAGTTTCAAAGTATTCTATTTAATGTAACCGAGCTTCAACGTTTCCTATTTCTTATCCTGATCTTGTAACATTTGATGACGTGGATGTCAAATTTACCGTGCACTTTGGCATGAACTTTTCATAAAGTAGTATTCATGTCATGAAATGCAGGTTACCGGTCAAAATGGGTATAAAGTAGAAAATTCTGAATCTTTGTTGCATTAAAATTATTCGTAACAGTAAATAGGTACTAAACCAAACTTTGTTGCATTTAGCCCTTTATTTAAACCTATTTTTCTCACATTTGTTATTGCCAATGTTTCTATTTAATCTAATCGTTGCTCGATTGTTGTCACTCTTACCAATAGCTTGATCTCTCGTTTCTTTAATTTTTCGGTTTTACAAGCAAAACTTATCTACTTTTTTAGCATAGAGGAAAGGTCTACGTACCCGGGATTTACTAGGTTTGTTTCGTTCACTGCATTTGATTACAGGGGTAATGATCTAATGGCAGCCCAAGCTCCTCCTATGTTCTACCCACCGGTTGCACCCCAAGCTACTCTGCCTCTGGCCTATTATGGTGCACCCAACCCATATGCACCACAACTCTAGGTCCAGGTTCAGGTTCAGGTTCCGGTTCCGGTTCCGGTTGTGGGGTTCGGCCTGGCTTGATGACAAACATGTCGTAATTTGATTGGTTCTGGGGACTTGTGTGTTCAAATTGGTTGAGATAGTTTATTTCTTTCTTTTATTAGAATCTTGTGTACATTATGAAATTGGTATTGAAACATGTATCTGATATCGATAGGATATGCCAACAACATACAGCTTCATTTGAAATTGCTACTGAAAGTCATGTATTTTAAATTAATTTTTTTTGGTTGAAATAAAATAGGGTGGTTATTATATGGATATACGTAAACAAAATTTATTTAAAATTTGTATCCAATTATGTTGCATCCTATTATACCAGATATTGTCCACTTTGTCCACATTTGGACTCGTGGTTTTAAAATGTGTCTAGTAGAGGAGTTATCTAGTCCTTTGTAGGGATGGAAACGGATCCGGTATTGGGTAGTTAAGTGCATCCCTGTCCCCAATCCCGCTCCGACTAACCCCCGATGGGTCGGGGTAGTAAAAATGATATATTTTAAAATTATAGTTATAATGGATCGTCACTATATAAATTATCAATATTGAATATCAAAATATGTCATTTAAATAATAAAGGTATATATATATATATATATATATATATATATATATATACACATACTATATACATATATTAATTAAAATAAAAAATTTAATCAGGGTCGGATTAAAGGCTGGTAATGCCATCCCTGACCCTGTCTAGACCTCACTTCGGATAAGAAAATAAATCCCCGTCCCTGTTCCGTTTGGGTCGAGTACCAACGTGTATCCGCCAACCAGTAATATTTTCCATCTCTAATGAAACCTTAATTCTCCTCCGAGCCAATATAGGATCTTACTGGTCATGTCAAAAATAATTTAAAAATCAATGTTGAAATATCATCAATACGACAATTTAGAATACTATAAATACTAATATAAAGATTAACGAGTACCCAAAATTGTGATTTGTATCGGTTAATATGATTAATGAAGCATGTGAATGAGATAAGATATGAAGAAAGCCCTGAAAAAGAAGAACCAAAGAATCTATTCAAACCATTGGATAGAGATGATCCAATGGATGTGATTAAAAAAAATGATTATAACCATCTTTAAAAAAATATATAAATAATTCCTCTAAATATTTAATTTGAAAAGAAGCGAAATACAAAAAAAAAACAAAAAAAAGGCAAACAAATTATACAAAAAAAACGATCATTTTATTATCTTTAATTTGACATCATTTTGATACATTTTTTCTTTCGTCTTTTCGTAGTTCTCGGGTTTTTTTTTTCAAGATTATCACTGGATCTTTTTCTGCATATAAATTTGGTTTATACTTTCTTTTTCTGATAGGGAGGGGGGGTGACCCCTCCAGATCAAGATAAAACACTAAAACGCTAAAAAACAAGACAAATACGCGCTCGGGTGGGGGCGAACCACATCAACCAGAAAAAGCCAAGGAGCCCCGAGAGAAGGTTTATACTTTCTTTTTGAACGGGGAACGTAGCGATGAACATCTAAAACCAGGTCCAAGTAACTGGTCTTGGTTAACCGAAACCGGTTATAAATGAAAGGATTAGCCTAAATATGTAACCCATGAGGTTCAACCACTTGCCTAAATGGATACCACACTCGTCTTATGTAAGCGGTTATAGGACAAGAACGATAGACTACTTTTTCATGTAACTATTTGTACTTTTAAACAATTTGTTCGAGTGTAAAAATTATATAAATATAGAACATAGATTAAAGAAATTATCAAAAGAACAGATAAAGTAATAACTGGTTAATAAGGGTCGGTTGCTTGACCGGTCACAATCACGTCCAGTATGTTCAGTCAACATATAGATTGTGCTTTAAAAGGGAATTGATCCGGTGAACCTCGATGCACCTAATTAGTGTTGACATTTAATTATGATTGATTTAAGGGTGGAGAAAACTTCATACGCTTCTCACTATTACTTTTCTTCTCACCGGGTCCCAACCCTATATATATATATATATATATATATATATATATATAATATTTAGTTAGAAATACATCATTTATGTTATATTTTTATCTCTAACGGATCAAATGAGAAAAATAACACTCAACTAGAAATGAAACTGATCATACGAGTTAAACGGGTCAAAGGTCATCCATTATGTATTTAAAACTTATTACACAACAACACAACCTCATCAACCGCGTTATTCAACAACTTTATACCATATTTTTATAATAATTAGAATGATACTTGTACAATGCAGCGAGATACATTTCGATTTTAATGTTTTGTTTTATTCTTTGTCTATATCAATGTCATATACAATTTTATGTGGTTTTGAGAAAAAAATAATTCTTTTATTTTTCAATAAAATATAAATTTGAAGATATAATAAAATTTTGAAAAAATATATTAATATTAATATCAAATTAACTATTTAAAAGTTTTCGTTTTAGTGTAATTTTTTTGATTCAATTTTGCATTATAGTTCAACTTAAACTTAATAGAAAGTAATTTATTTTTTGTTTAATAATATAACTTTTTATAAAGACAATAATCAAATATTATGTTATAACCTAATGATTATCCTAATTATATTTTAGATTATTTATATTTAAAATAAGATGTTTATCATTTATTTGATTATTTTTATCTGCAATTAGTTACACGAAATCAAGTTTAATAAGTTGTACTTAAATACAATATATTTGTAATCATGAATTTTAAGTAAATCCAAAAATAAACAATACTTTATGTATAAAAAATAATTTTTAATAATTTTTATTATAGATATAATTTATGTGAATAATAAAATTAAAGAAAAACATTAATAGTGAAACAAACAAGATCCTCTTTTGACTTGTATTAAAAGTGTTCTTTTTTAAATTATTGACATCTTACCTACTTGTCTGTACGATTAGGGCTCTAAATGAACCGAACGAACACGAACGGAGGTTTGTTCATGTTCGTTCGTTTAACTTAACCGAATAAACGAACGAAAATCTTTGTGTTCGTGTTCGTTCGTTTAGAAATAAGGTGTATTCGTGTTCGTTTATGTTCGTTCGTTAACATGCTAAACGAACGTAAACAAACGAACATAAACGAACGGGCTAAACGAACATAAACGAACATAAATAAATATTATTTGAATTCAAAGTAAATAAATAAAAGATTATATATTAAATTTAATATATAAACGAACGTAAACGAATGGTAAATGAACGAACGAGACTCTTGTTCATGTTCGTTTAAATAAACGAACAAAAAAATTTGTTCATGTTCGTTCATTTATTAAATAAACGAACATAAACGAACTTCCCGCCTAACGGTTCACGAACGGTTCGTTGAACGTTCGGTTCGTTTATAGCCCTATGTACGATCCATCTTGTCACATTTTGTGATTTTTTTATATATTTTAATATAAGTATTCAACGGATGTCACTTGTCTTACTGGATATGCATGAAAAGGATCAAGAGGCTTATCCGATAAGATGAATAGCAAAAACCAAAATCTTACACTGTAAGTAAATACTAACCGGATAAAATATGCTTACTAATAATCTATTTTGATGGTCAATGATATTACCCAATAAAGTAAGTGGTGGTGATGACAGATGTTGGTAAACACTTCATAAATCATGAACAATCCCTTAGTTTGAAAAATAAACACTTATTTTTTAAAATTAATCTATACTATGTTATAAAACATTTGATAAAAAATTTTAAAAACCATTTTTATGCATAAAGTACAGTATATTAATGCATATTACTTAAAATTCAAGATTATAAGTAAATGATGTATACGTACAATTTATTAAAGCTCAATGTTTGAATGCGTATAACTAACTGTGGATAAACATAATCAAATAGAGGATAAACATTTCATCTTAAAATATAAAAAATCTAAAATATAATTAAAATAATTATCGAGTTATAATAAAATAATTAATTATTATTTTTATAAGAAAATTATATTATTAAACCAAAAATAAATAAAAAATACGTTACATAAATACACAAAAAAATTAAAAGTTAGTTTGGTACTTTTTTAAATATTTTATAATACCTTCATATTTATATTTTGTTCAAAAATAAAAACATTATCACTTTTTTAAAACCACATAAAACCGTATCATAACATCGATTGCGACAAAAAAATAAAATGAAACAATAAAATCAAGATATATCTCGCTGTATTATGCGAGTACCATTCTAATATAATAATATAGACATTTATTTTGAAATTGATAAAATACTTAAAATTTTATTTATGACATACAAAATAAAAAGAATGATTGGCCGCATATCCCTGAGTCCGCCACAAGCTTAAACTAAAAAAAGCGGCGGCCACCGGCGGTTCGGCGTCGTACTCACTCACAAACACTGCTTTTTGTCATATGTAGAAAAACGTACCGTTTTAACCTTGAACAATGCTAAAAATGGTTTCTTTGGCCCTTGTGGTATTACTTCTTAACTATTTACGTCCCTTAACTACACTTTTGAATTGACTAACCACACTATTTATCGATCATACGATAAAATCAAACTAAACGGACCCAAATAAATTCAACTCAAAATGGGTTTAGGAAGATAAGATATATCCAAACATGACCTCTACTGCAATAGGTAGATAAGATGTTTTCGTAACCACAAGGGTGGTGCCTGATTGGTTTGAGTTTGACTCCAAAGGTTAAAAATACCAGGAGGTCCCATGTTCAAATCCAAGAAAAAATAAAAATCCTCTTGTGGCCATGGAGGTTCAAATACGGTGACTCCGGGCTATCTACAAAGCAGGTGACCGCCCTGGGATTAGTCGGCTCACATAACGGGTTGCATATACAAGTTAATAATAAAAAAGATGTTTTCGTTCAGATCCTTGAATTGCAACAGTGAGTCAGTGACACAATGACCTTATCAAATAACTTGGTCTAACCAGGGGTGGTGGGTGCATGAGCTACCACTCAATCTTCTCGCCATATAAACGAGTTATCAATCCCCATGAAATTTGTTGATTTTGATGCAACATTTTTTTTCTTCATATAATCAATCATTATAATACAAGAGGTTATTTGTTTACCTTTTAATAGTTCTATTTAGAGATAGTCTCTGAATCGTTAAGAGATGAATCTTGTTTGGCAGAAAAAAAGTTTGTCTCTTAATGATTCTAAAACCTCCAAATGATTTTTGTATCTTGTGCCTCCTTTAACCATTCAACACCCTAATTTCATTGTAAACAATTACCGAACAATTATACTTCATTTTGCATTATATCATGAGAGCCTCTTAATCATTCTAACCACTTAATCATTCTACATCAAACCATTCAACAACTTACAGACAACTCCTAACATGTCATTAATATTTATAAATATTTATTGGTCATTGCCATATCTGATAAAATGGGAAAAGAACCAAAAAAATGAAATAATAATAGAAGGGTCGAACTTGTATTTTACTATAATACAAGGGTCTAAATGCATCTTTTTTCCATACCTGTATTTTATCTTTACCGTTTCTCAGCACAGTTTCGTATTCAGACTCCCAAATTTTCGTACAACAAAATCCAATCTGAAGAGAGAGAGAGAAACATCAAGGTAGAAGAATATATTCGTTTCAATCTTTTCAGACTCTAGATTCTAGAAGGAGCCACAGCTTCGAATTCTGCTGTAATAATACATACTATATATATATATATATATACACAATTTATATATGCATATATACCCGTTTCTTGTTAGTTACGGAGTTGGTTGTTCATTTCTTCATGAATTTTTAGGTTTCTGTTTTGAAAATGGCGAGCTCAGGTTCGAATGATGAAGTTGTTTCGTTGGAGCTACCTGCACCTCCTGGATGGAAAAAAATGGTTCTCGTTCTCCCCTAATTTACATTTTATTCACGTTATATGCATCCATGGTTGATTTTGAATATTTTATCGTCGTTTCTGTTTCTGTTTCCTGTTTAATTTTGTGAATTTGGTTGTGGGTGTAGTTCAATTTCGCTATAACTTGAGAATTTGGGGATAATTTTGGTAGGTGTGAAAGCTAGGGTTTGTGAAGGAATTTGGGTAAATTTGCTTGTTTCTGCTATCATCTATATCTGTATATATATGCTAGTTTAATTTCTGTGAGTTTTGCTGATCTTGTACTTGCATTGGTGCTTAATTTTTTGAATTAGGTTATGGGTGTAGTTCAATTTTGCTGGAGTTTGAGTTTTGGGGATAATTTGTTTTGATTTTGGTGGGTTTTCAAAGCTAGGGTTTTCTAGCTTGTTTTGTTGATTTGAAATATTCGGTAGGTTTATTTCAAAAATAAGGGGCTGTTTGCAAATTGCTGAATGATTTGGTGCAGAATGATTAAGTGGTCAGAACGAGGAAGAGGCTCTCATGATACAGTGCAAAATGAAATATAATTGTTTAGTAATTGTTTATAATGAAATTAGGGCGCTGAATGGTTAAGGGAGATTTAGAATACAAAATCATTCAGAGGGTTTTAGAACTATTAAAAGACAGACTTTTTTTCTGCCAAACAAGATTTACCTCTTAACGATTCATAGACTGCCTCTTAATGGGACTATTAAGAGGTAAACAAACAACCCTTAGGTCTTTTGTTATTACCATCATGTATATGTATATAGGGGGCAAATCATAAGGGGCAAATAAACCTGCAAGAACCGGACTAAAAATATTTATTTACACGATTTTGAGTTGTTTTGTTGATTTTAAGAAATTCGGTAAGTTTTTTGTTATTACTGTCATGTATATGGATATGTAAACAGGGGGCAAATCAAATAAGAACCGTAAAAAGGTTATAAACCTGTGAGAATCGATCTAAAAATACTATTTTACGTGATTTTTTCTTCTTTCAAATGCTAGGATTTAAGGTATTGTTTCACACTTTCACATATATTTGTTTCATTAGGTGATAGTTTCACAATGTGAAACTTTTTTACGTGTATTTTTCGTTTCACTGTTTGAACCAAAAGAAAGTCATGTACTTTTTTTTATAATGTGAACACATACATATGTGAAACAATATCTTGAATCATAACATCTGGTAAAAAAATTATTTCTATATCGGTTCTCATAACCTTTTTGTATAATAAAATTCTTCAGTCTACTGTTTAGGTTGTTTAATTTTGGTGGGTTTTCATAGCTAGGTTCTTTGAGTTTGTTTTCTTGATTCGAAGCAATTCATCGAGTTTTTCTTCGTTATTATTATCTCTCAGGGATTGTTTGGCAGTTACTGAATGGTTTAGTGCAGAATGATTAAGTGGTCAGAATGATTAAGAGACTTTCATGATATAGTGCAAAATGAAATATAATTATTTGGTAATTATTTACAACGAAATTAGGGCGTTGAATAGTTAAGAGGGGCCAAGGATACAAAATCATTCAAAAGGTTTTAGAACCATTAAGAGGCAGACTTTTTTTTGCCAAACAAGATTCATCTCTTAACGATTTAGAGGCTGTCTCTTAATGGAACTATTAAGAGGTAAACAAACAACCCTCAGTATCTTGTCAATTTGTACGAAATTCTTTAGTCTTCTGCATAATTGGTGTTTAATTTTGTTATTTGGGTTCCGGGTATAGTTCAAATTTACGGGAGTCTGATTTTGATGCCTTTGAGGACAGTTTGTTTACATTTTGGAGGGTTTTCGAAGCTAGGGTTTTGAGCGCGTTTTTGTTGATTTCATCAAATACAGCAAGTTTTTTGTTATTGCTATCTTGGTATCTTCATCTTTTGTGTGTGTGTGTGTGTATAAAGAGATAGATAGAGATGCATGCGTAACAAGATGTGTGAAAATGCAATGTTTATATAGTGTTGTTTCATATGTGAAACGTTCAGGACTGTCTTGTGTGTGGGAAACAATAGTCTTTAATGTTTCACATATGAAACAACATTGTATAAACACTGCATTTTCACACATGTTGTTTATGAAAACTGGTTTGTAAGTTTGTACGAACTATTGGGTTTGTAAAAGAATGAGTTTGTAAGTATGTCGAGATGTCCAAGTGGGAGGGAAGATCAAACGAGAACACAATCGAAATAAGAGAATACGAGAACGATCAAATCATATGTGATTTTGCACTGAAATCACATGTGATTAAGGAACATGGGGCGACTTGGCCCATGACCTAGGTTACGCGTAATCACATGTGATTTCACACATGAGTATAGTGTAAAATCACATGTGATTTGACTGTTTTCGTGTTCTCTTATTTGGTCATAGTTCTCGTTTGAACTCGAATCATCCAAGTGGTGTAGCTTAAGTTAAGTTGTTACTAGGACAAGTACTTGCCGCTTTCAATAGGATGAAGCAGCGGCTTAAGGTCTATTTGGTATGCATAATGAATATACTTTATCAGACGTCTTGGTGAATGATCGTTGGATATTATATTGCGTGAAATTGTGAGAAATAAGAACGCCTTTAAAGCTAAGTTAGTGGTTAGAAATGTTTTTAGAACAAGGAATTAAGATCGACTAAAAAAAGGAAATGAATGCAACAATTTCCTTCATGGTAAGGATTCAATCGAAATTTACTTTACTTTGCTCATTATAATCATTACAAAATTATTTGTAATATTGATCGTTCACAATACCTCGTCAATTTGTCTCAATAAAAGAAAGATACGAAAGAAAATTGCAGTTATGAATTATATCATCGTGATGGTATTGATTCAACCATACCATTTCTAGTACGGTTTTACCGATATTGAAGATGAAACACATATGTATAGGCGAACTTTAGATATGTTGCCATAGATATTGCTTTAGGGATAAGCTCGTTTAGGAACTTCAAATATTTTAGGAACCTAGGAACCACCTATTTTGTGATTATCCATTCATCATGAATATCTGTCATGACCATGGTTCTAAATGGCTCATTATGGTGTGTTATGGCATCAAGTCTTTGCTTCGCTGCCACTAACCCTTCTGGCTCCACTTCAAGGCTTGGTTTCTGTTGTAATGTGTTATGACACGTTATGGCGCGTTATGGCGCCTTATTTTCGGTTCCGAGATGAACCTCCCTCTATCGCTTTATTTGATGAAGTTGAGGTTGATACATATATTGAAGATGAAACGGATACGAGTAAACAACTACATATAAGTAGAGCCGGGTTCATTTGGGGAATTGTTTAGATTTGCACACATTTGTAAGATGTTAGTGGGATTTCTATCGGAAACTAGATTGATCTAACCTCTTCTTAGATTCGGAAGTATTCATAACGGTGTTTTGAACAATTAGCAAGAGTATTTTACTATTTTACCCTAGAGTCGTGACATACGATGGAATGGTCGTAAGTAAAAGCGATTACGCTAGGCTTGAATTTAGTTTGTAGGATGATTGTAGCGATATTGATTGCAAGCGCATATTCCCTCTTAGTCATGAGTCGATTCCGTGCGTTTTCTACTAACGGAGAAGACCTTTTTGCCCTTCTATTTGGTGTTCTGGTTGATTTACGAGCTTCATTACTAATTTGTCTCTCTAATGAACGAATTTACATGTAGTTTCTGCCAAAGGAAGGTGGGACCCCGAAGAAGAACGAGATTGTGTTCACTGCGCCAACAGGGGAAGAGATCACCGGCAAGAAGCAGCTTGAGCAGTACCTGAAATCACACCCTGGTGGGCCCAAAGTCTCGGAGTTTGATTGGGGAAGTGGTGAAACTCCAAGGCGGTCTGCAAGAATTGTTCAGAAAGTGAAGTCAACTCCGCCATGGTCGGAGGCTGAGCCGGTCAAGAAACGGTCCAGAACGGTTTCAGCTTCAAAGAAGGGTAAAAAAGAGAAAGATGAGGTCCCTGAAGAAATCAGAGACAAAGATGTTGAAATGAAGGAAGCTGGAAAGGGTGAGAAAGATGAAAAAAATGACAAAAGTGCCCCTGAAGGTACCGAGGGAAACGAACCAGAGAAAACTGAGAAAGATTCGGTGGATGTCAAAAAAGATGAAACCAACGAAGAGACGGATGTCAAAGCTGACGAAGAAGGTAAACCTGTAGAAGAGGCGAACAAAGCATGTGAAATCCCAGAAATGCCCCTGTTGCAGGAAGAAACTAAGGAGGTGAACAGAGAGACATTAGCCGATGCAATCCAAGATGCAGAGCAGGCTCCAGTGACGGAGGCTGAGAAAGATGGCAGCACCGCCACTTCTGCAGACGGGCAAAAGGGTAATCTTGATGGTGTTTCCGACCAAAAAGTGGAAGCCGAAGGTGGCGGCGTGGCGGAGTATGGTAATCACATGGCGGCCAGTGAGGCTACGCCGCTAGCAGCTTAGGCAATGAGTTATCCAGTTTGTTCATCTTTTTTTTACAGTTTTTGTGATTGTTGGGAAGCCATGGGTGTATCTATAATCTATGATAGGGGTTAGAAGTCAGCTTTGCATCCGAGGGATACAACCAAAGAGATTGTTGATATTTGATGTTTTGCAGGCTTTGTTGTTGCAGTTAGGGAATTGTAGGTTGCAGATGGGATATATATATATAAAATATGTATGTATTGTTATGTAACAAGCTATCTTTATGCTCTTGGATTGCCCTGAGTTTTAACTGTACGCAGATGGTCAGGACAAAATTTGACAGTATTGGACATGATGGAATCGGATCGGTGAAAGTGAGATAGACGGGTGAGAATTTTGGATGGTTTTAATTTGACATTAGTAGTTTATTAATCTCGTTTTATCTCGATTTTTGTTCCACCTATTTTCGTGGAACAAAAAAAATGCAGTTTGTCCACTTGGGTCTTACCATGTCCTGGTCTAACGTTCGTGCTAAATGTGAGACAAACAAATTTTTGTACTGTCTTGTTCCGTAATGGGATCTAAACAAGAAACGCCTTGTTGACCTTGACAAGACTCAAAAAGGCGTTCAGAGATTCAAAATTGAAACAGTGGAACTCAAAAAAAGGTAGATAAAATTATATAGAAAAAATATTATCTTGTCGACGTGATTTGAGGCGTGGCTCCTGTTTTATCTTTGCAGAATGAATGAGAGTATGTGGACATTATTGCAAAATCAGTGAGAGGTATCTTGTCCCCACATATTCTTGGAACATGTATCTCGCCATGATGATATGGTGAGAGCGCTTTAAAGGATGACAACATACTTTTTTCCCCCAGAAAACCCCTTTTTTGTATATGTGAATATTGGGGCTACCTTACATGTACCTCAATTACTCTCGTGGGGTCCAATAGCTAGAAAAATCTTCAGTGGCTCTTCTTGATGAATTGGGATTTCCATCATTTCGGGGCAAACAGATCTATCAATAACCGAGCCGGATCTGGTGTATCATAAGAGATCTGCCTTTGAACTAACAACTTATGTGAGGAATCCGAAACCTGATTTTTTTATATGTCAATTCAGTTAAGTAACCCAATAATCTGTATTTGCTTACATCTAAAGACAAACCTTTTGAAATTGTAGCATAACTTTGGTCCTTATCATTCATCTTTACAAGGGAGACCAAACACAACTCTTACCTCATTTGCCACCATAACTTTGTGTCCTTTTTATTCATATTCACAACACACACCAAACAAATCTCTTACCTCATTTGCATTAGAGACCCACTTTCTAGAAAGTAAATGTTTCCTTTTCCTTTTACAACATTTATCTTTTCTATTATAAAGTGATGCACCATACATATCATCCTAAAAATAACATACGAGTAACCTATACCATCAAACAAACTATAACTGATCAACATAATGAAATGTACCAGATCAATTACCACTAAAGAAACTATCTGCATATATCCAGGGTAAACTGTAGTTTATTAAACCCTTTGGATCAGACCACCTTTTTCAACACCCATCGAATACAACTCTTCCAACAAGTGAAAGGAAGCAATAAACCGAATCAAACGAGTCCAGTGAACCCTATATATTATACAGTGTGGAAAAAAAATGATATCTACTTACTTTATCTCTATCTCAAGAAGTAAAGACGTTTTATGAAAACCCTGTTTGTAGAAGTTTTGTAAAAGAAATGTTTTTGAAGAATTATTGTTTCAAAAAGAATCACGAAAAGAAAGTGATAAAAAAGTAAATGGAAAGAATGTAGTTTGGAAGAGTTGCAGAAAAAGTAACAAGAAAAAAAAAGATAATCTATCAGAACCTAGTTATATGTCTTTACAAACTTTTATCTGAAGTTACGTCTTCTAAAATGTCTAAAGTTGTCGTGTTCGGTCTTAGTTGCTCGTTTCGCGCCATCCTTGGTCTTCCCGTCCTCCTCACATTCGTCGGTTGTTTCTTTGATTTCCAGGAGATCAAAGATTGACCCAGAAACACACAAAAACCTCCTACCAACCGTCTTGAATCCATGCACTTTCTTCAAGCTGAATCACAAAAACCGTGTTGCCCTCCCCCAGGAACGACCCTGTCTCTCATTATAGCCGGACACTACACCCAATTCCTCTCATAAGACCTCATTCGGTGTCTTATCTAATCGCTCGACCACATGTCCATCTAAGCATCCAAATTTCTGCCATCGTCTTCCTTTCATTCTCCTTCACCGTCCAACACTTTCCACCATATGACATAGTTGGTCTGATAACTACCTTATAGGATTGTCCGTTCAATTTTAACGGGACTTTCTTTATCATATAACACTCCCTGGAAGCTCAGTGTTTAACCGTCTCGCCTTTATGCGATAAGCAACATCATTTTTGCGAATCATGGAGATTAAATACTTTAGACTTTCATTTTAAGTACCCTTTTGCAAGTGAAAGAAATAACGTTGTGTAAACTTTATCTTTAACGTATTAAAGTTTTGTATATTGTTCTGAATGTGACTGTTTTTGACCTTTTTCAAATCCATCACTGTTTTATTTTGTTTTACTTCCGATCCACGCGTATTCAAAAATCCAACGCTTGTTATTAAATAAAATGTAAAAAGGAGATAGAAACGTAACAATGTAGACATCAAGCGATTTTGGGTTCTAAAACCAAATATGCACGTGCATATAAACTATTTCTTGACGGGAACATGCAAACCCTTACGGATCTCACAACCATGAACCAATTTGAGCAAATTTCTATACATAAAACTCTTAAAAACATAATCTTTTTCTTAAAATTGTTACCCAGACGACTTCTTGTAAGTGTTTGTGCGGTCCTATCCATATGGGATGAGCATAGAACGATAAAAGAACAGGGTTGCAATTAATATAAAATGACTTTTTAAACCTTTTTCGTAATGAATCAGTACACAGATCAATCTGTGAGGAACCACAACAGTTTTTGAAAGGGAGAGGGAGTTATAATCCTTCTGTTGTCGTTCTTACTCTAACTGTACATAACATACTCGAATACTCTACTTTTAAATCACACCAGCAACTGAATATTTTACAGTTAAATATAACCAACTTAAAAAGCAAATCCTACCTTCCCATTCAAAAAGCAACAAATGGAAAGTTCTTGAACACAACATATTATTTATTGGAAAATGTAGTGGAATCAATAATTAAAAAGTGACATCATAATTTGGGGGTTTGCATATTTGTGTACATGCAATCAAACTAGTTTTAAGAAGGGAGGGCATGTGCCATCGTATTATTTTTTCATCGAAGGGTAAAAAATTTAGGTTTGTGAACGGTGCTACCTTATCGTTTTAGAAAGTGCTACCGTATTTTCCTGAAATCCAAATAGTGCAAGTAAAAAATTTAGGTTCGTGAAGGGTGATACCTTATCGTTTTAGAAGGTGCTACAGTATTTTCCTCAATTATATAAAAACCATACTTTTTGTAATTATTTTTAGGTATATATTGATCGTTTTCAAAAGATGAAGACGCGTCGGATACAAGTTTAGAAGTTGTTTATCGGTCCTATAAAAACTATTTTTTAATTATTTTTAAATATATATTATATTATATTAATTATATGGTATCACCGTTTAAAAAAATTTCTGAATTACATATAGACTATGGTTTGATAAAAAGCCTCTTTGATTGATCATCTTTTCCAACAAAGTGGAATTATGATTAAATAAATAAATAAAATAAAATAATTGAAAAATAAAATAAAAAAAGGTTATTAGATGGCAATCAAGATTCTTTTCTTCATGACCCATCACTATCTTTGATCAATGCTAAAAGCACCTTTAATTGGTCTTCTACCAATCCCCATCAATTTTATAATGCATTTACCAAATCCCATTTATATATAATTTTAAATAATTTTTTTTTAAAATTAACCTAGATATCTAATTCATTATAAAAACTGATTAATCTTAAGACGATCACCTACTTTACAGATAATCTGGGGTCACCGCATTTGAACCTTCGTGACCACAAAGAGATTTTTATTTCTCATTGAATTTGAACCTGAGACCTTCTGGTATTTTTGACTTTTACAGCCAAATTCAAACCAATCAAACATCACCCTTATGGTTAATAAAATATTTTTCAAATAAAAATAAAAATAAAAATAAGACCAATCAACTTTATTTATTCTAATAAAAAATTGATTTTATTTGTCCTTTTTATTAATTCTCTATTTGTTTATGTGGAGCCCTTTAACTTTTATGCTTTTGTTAACTTATGGAACAAGAATTTGGAGTTTGGCTCATCATCTAAGGAAAGGTACCAAATATATTATAATTTTCAATGTATTATGCATAAATAACAAATGGTATTTGACCTAGCGGTATGTAAGTCTTTGGCTTTCTAAGAAGTCAAATGTTCAAACCTCACCAAAGATGAGGAGGGTGTGTGAGTTTATTTGTTCTATTCACCGTATATAAATATTATATACTTCAAAAAGAAAAAAAAAGATGTGATTGTGTATATCATCTTCACACTCGAGACAACTGTTGTCGTTTATACCGGTACTGAGAGTGTATTAAAAGGTACTGTGTTTTGGTTTTCTGATTTCCATTTTCTGATTTCCATATATGTTGATACAGATTGTTAAGCCATATGAAAGATGTGTCTTGTAAATCGATTCATAAAACGTCAATTTCATAATTATATTAATTATTTTTAATTAAACTGATATAATTCATTAATAAATGTTAAGAAGTTGAAATATCATTGTCTTTATCTTAAATTAATTGTTTGATTAAAACCAAAAGAAGTCTGGACATTCAAATAATTACAAAAAATAACAATACATGATTTATCTGATACGACTTTCAAAAACTTTATTACTGAATCACCATCTAAAACTTTCTGTTTTACGAAAAAATAGGAAACCAGCTTTATGTTTTTGTATTTTCTTTTGGAAACCAGTATTCAGAACCTCGATTTTTTTGAAAAATAAACTTTTAGAACTTTTTTAAAGAATAAAAATGAAACCAGTTTTACTTTTATTTATATCATAAGAAATCTGTATTGGGTCATTTGGTCTTTTAAGAAGTTTTGGAAGTCTGTTTCTAAAACGAATGTTTTGGAAAGAGGTATCATGAAACATATATAAAAACGAAATCGGTTTCATTTGGATGTAATTTGCAATTTTTTTTTTATTAACCTGAATATCTAACCCGCTATTCGAGCCAACTGATCACAGGACGACCATCTGCTTTGCAGATAGCCCGAAGTCACCGCATTTGAACCTCCGTGACCATAAGGGAATTTTTATTTCTCCTTGAATTTGAACCTGAGACCTCCTGATACTTTTGATCTTTGGAGTCAAGCTCAAACCAATCAGACACCACCCTTGTGGTTAATTTGCAATTTTATCGATTGTCTTTTTAGATCAAAAAAAGTGAATTTCTAAAACAAGTACTAATCGTGACTACCTCCAAAGTTGAGGGTACTAAAATGAAATTAATGAATCGAATGAAAATTATAAATAAGCCTATTAAAAGAAAACAGAAGTTGAATAATATCTCCGCGGCTATAAAACGCGTCTCCTTCCAAAGAAAACGACCGCTAAAACCCCCATTATTCCGCCTATCGCCACCGCCCTCCGTCGCCAAAACCGCCGTGGTAAACATCACCTTAGAAAGAGTAGTTCGGTTATCTACTAATTCAGAGAGAGAAATTTGTATTTACGTACGTGCATATATCTATGTCTAGAGAAAGAGTGTGTGTGTGAGAGCAACTTTAGATAGAGATTTTGGACTGTTAATTCATCTTATGGCATGGCTGAGTTGGAGGTTTGAAAGCAACGGCGAGAGAGTCGTTTTATTGACTCCGAGATGAAGATATCGCGATCCTTTGGTCGATGTTTACTTCTGCTTTTGGTATTTTTAGTTCAAAAAGGTAAAGATTTTGCCTATTTTTATTTATTTATTTATTTTTGTACTGATCTGTAGTTGAACCCTAGAAACTGATACTAATCGTTGAATGATTGCAATTTTTTAGTTCAATGATGATCGCAGTGGATCATGAGTTTTGTTGCTTTTTTTTGTTTTCGTAATTGTAATCTTGTTTGGGACGCACATAGCGACGCTCTTCCAATTTGTGTAACTGGACTCAATTGAACGTAGCCTTAAAGCCTGTCGAGCTTGAATTCACATCTTCTTAATGTTTTAGCAATTATAGTGTTTTATGTACCAGTATTGTTTAATGTTCTTTTACGAAGTGAGGTTTAGGTTTAACTATGTCTTTATCGAATTAATAGTGACCACTCAAAATTATGTTCACAACTGGTTCGAATTTCTCCTGGTGATATGGTTTGGTAGTTTGGGAGAAATACTCAGATTGATTGTGGTTCAAAATCGAAGAGGTAGAGTTCATTTCCTGTCAAAGGAATTACATCTTCATTGTTTGTGAAATTAAGTTATGCATTAACTTCAGATTTGATATGCTATAGGTTTCTTATTTCCTTATATATTAGGAGCAAAATTATTGGTATAAGCATATCATTATTGAAATCTATTTATTAATTGAGAGATTCAGTTTGAATATGTTTCAACACCATGGCCGTTTAGGCCTAGCACCCGAGGTTCAATGTTGCGTTGGTCTTCCATTTCTAGTAGTCAGACGTGTATTGGATTCCTAAATTGTAATTTGTGCTTCATATGTTTGATGCAGATATACATATGACTCATGCTATAACATTTTTATTCATGTATGATTTCGGCATGTTGTGTGTCATAAACTTATCCTCCTATTTTATAGAGTTTATTACCTAGGACACATGACAATGAGCAACCAAGCTTACTGATGGCTTTTCAAGCTTGCTTGTAAAAGTAACAAGTTTTAGATAACACACAAGTCAAATTAGTTGTTTCAAAAGCAAGTTGTCAAATTACCATGTTAGTAGGTTTCTTTCTATAGGGTTCGGAACCATTTGTTTGAGGATTTGAAAATCCTGTATACCACCTCTGGGTTAATATCTAAAGTTTCCTTCGATAAAATTGCAAAACAAGGAAGTTTTGTTTACCACTGTGAGATAGACGACATTCAATCACTTTTGGGGTCTGATGATGTTCATTTGTATGATTGTGTTCATTATGAATACTCATTCCTTCATTATTTTTCCCAGGGTACGTGGCAGCTAAATCATTCACAGGGACTTATGGTATAAATTACGGAAGGCTTGCAGATAATATCCCTTCTCCTAATGAAGTTGTTAGGCTTCTTAAAGCAGCTAAGATAAAGAACGTAAGAATTTATGATGCTGATCACAGTGTTCTTGATGCATTTAGTGGGAGTGGTCTGGATTTGGTGATTGGTGTTAATAATGGATTGGTGAAGGATATGAGTAATAGTGCTGATCATGCCCTTGATTGGGTCAGAGACAACGTGCAAGCGTACTTTCCCGAGACCCATATTGTCGGGATTGCTGTCGGAAATGAAGTTCTGGGAGGGGGTGATATGGATCTCCAGGCAGCTCTGTATGGGGCAGTTAAAAATATTTACAATGCTACTCAAAAGTTGCAGTTGGATGGTGTAGTTCAGATAACAACTGCTCATTCACAGGCTGTTTTCGCTAGTTCATACCCTCCATCGTCATGTGTCTTTACAGAAAATGTTTCCCAAAACATGAAAAAACTACTAGATTTGTTTTCACAGATGGGGTCTCCTTTCTGTTTAAATGCTTATCCTTTTTTAGCTTACATGGGTAGTCCAGATGAGATTGATATAAACTATGCTCTCTTCAATCCAACTGATGGAATATATGATGAAAAAACAAATCTTCATTATGACAACATGCTTGATGCTCAGATTGATGCAGCTTATGCTGCACTGGAAGATGCTGGATTTAACAAGATGGAGGTTATAGTGACGGAGACAGGATGGGCTTCTCATGGAGATGCTAATGAAGGTGCTGCAACGTTCGAAAATGCAAAGACTTATAATTACAACCTGCGTAAAAGGCTTGCGAAGAGGAAGGGAACTCCACGGAGGCCAAAATCTATGTTGAAGGCATATATTTTTGCTTTATTTAATGAGAATTCAAAGACTGGCGCGACTTCTGAAAGGAACTTTGGTCTGTACAAACCTGACGGGACAATCGCGTATGATATAGGGTTTCCAGCTCTGCAATCTTCATCTTCAATTTCATCTCTTCTATCAATTAAGGTATGAAGCTTGTTATACTTTTTTTTATCTTCTAGTTGCTGAATTATTAATTTGTTATCCACTATTTATGTTCCCAAATTCCACTGAAAAGTTATTTGACATAATTATTGTAGAAATATGAATTTTTACTAGATTACACGTGCTAAGAAAAACCACTACATGTAAATAGTTACCCTTGAAGCTAATTTTTACTTAAAACAGTTCCAATCTCAACCTTCTTTTTGACATGGCACCTTATCAAGCTGCAGATATAACCTTTTTACTCAGAAGGGATTTTGACTTCTGTTCAACAGGATTTGACCATTCATCACTGTTGTATAATTGCATCTCTTACTATCCTCCCAGTTATCATCAAACATATCATCTGGCTTGCTTTACCCTTTCCACTGCTCTAATAGTGCTTGTTGAAATTGAGGTCTTTCTTTCTTTGTGCCCACTGAATTTATCTACTTTGTTTGTTAACTTCTCCCTTTTAACTACCTAGTTTACCATGGACAGCAAAGCTAAAGCTTTTACCATGATCTTTATCCGAAAAAGCTCTTACCATGATAAGACAACATTTAGGGGCCATTTGCCAACACAAATTGGGTAAGTGTCGATTGAAAATGGTTTTTTACCAAGTGTCTTGGTAAGTGCCGACTGAACCGAGTCAGAAAGCAACCCCTTCCTTACTGGGTCAACATCTCAGTCAAGTGTCAACATATTTATGGGTCATAGTGTATTGGTAAACAGCATCCTTGATTACCGGGTAAGCACCTCTTACCCAGTAAGAGGTGGTCAACAGGTAGTAAACAGCCCCTAAAAGAATTGCAGCTACAGTACCTATTATCCAAAAAGGAATTATTCCAGTAGTATCGGCCATTTACCCCACTTCCTTATTCTCTTTCTGGATTTCAGAGTCCTTGACTGAATTCTATTTCACTATAAGTAGTATTTGATTTTGGTCAATCTTACAAGTGCTTGAACTCTTTTTTGTCAGCAAAGTGGAGTCATTCAAGTTTACAGGGTTTCCTTCGTATTATAAATAATCTTAGTACAAGATGTATCATTAAAATTCAAAACCCTTAGAATATGTAAACATGCATTATTATTATTATTATTTGGTATATATAAATTAAACTTATAGTAGTACATAAACAATGCAATACAAGGTTTATCAGTTTATTGCTAATGGAATAGAATGCTTTGGTTTCTGTTTACATCCGAAACTATGGACTGGTAGGTTTGTAAACAGCTACAAACCCATGCCATCCAAACTTATTTTACGAGCTTATGAAAAAAGCACATTTCATTAGCCATAAGTTAGCTTTTCTGGAACCAAGTAGCGTTCAATAAGCTTCAGGGGCTTTTTTCCATATATTTTTCCCAATTATGCCTCTTATTTTTCCAACTTAACTTTTTAACATACCCTTTTAAATCATTTTACTGTCATTTAATACCAAACAGGTTTAGGTTATCAATATCAACCAGCTTATCAGCTAACAACTAACTTATTAACAAACAATTAGCTTTTCAGCTAGCGGCTAGCTTATCATCTAGTTTGCCAAACAGAGTCTTTTAATCTACGTTTAGGTGTCTGAACTTACATCCCCTAAACAATAGTTGACCTCGACTTAACTGTCTCCTGTAGATGAAATAAAATATAGAGATACAAATAACATATTTCTCAACTTGTATCAGGAACTTGGAGCTCAAGGGTGGCATTGGTCCTATATCTCGGTCTTAAGTGCATGTGCATCAACGTTGTTTCTATTTCTAAGATCATAAAACAGTTGGCTCCAGAGTTGCAGAATATGAGTTCATTACTGAAGATTATTTCCTCCTTCCATCCTAAAATAAGTGCCCATCTTGGTTAGGTAATAATTTGTCCGCTTAAACCGTATATACTTTTCATGATATATATTCTTTTTCACAAGAGTATTCGTAAGTTTAAACTTAGAATCGATAATACTTAGGTGGACCAAGATTAGATGCTGAAGGCCAAACTGGGCACTTAATTGGCAATGGTCAACGTTTTATGGTTTTGATCATAAGTTGTGTTACTACTCATGCTTACTTGCAAGATGTTAGTGATCAGTTTTGAGCTTCTATGCTTCTGTTTTCATTTTCTGTAATGACTGGTATTAATCTGGAAGAATCCCCTCTCATGGCACTGCCCTACTTTTTCGGTGTCTGAATCTGCTTTTGCACATCTCAACTAATCTTGTAGACCTTAAAGATTGAAATATATAATATATACAGTAAATTAAACTCATATGTTCGAATCTTTGACCTCTAAAAAGGTTAGGTTCCTGGATACCATTTGGTCAATGATCTACTGTTAGGATCTTGAAAGTTGCAGCCGTGAAAATCCAGTGGCCTTGAGGAGACTTGAAGACAGGGTTTGGGGGTGGGATACTCAAATGTATGCAGACATGTCATTTATCCCAAATAGTAGCGAAAAGTGTGACAGAAAGAAAGTTTTAATCGCTAGGAAAAAAGAAACTGAAGTATGTACTAGAAAACAATACGAAAATTACACTTCTAGTCTAATTTAGAAGTCTGGTAACCTATCTATTGGCTCACGGATCCACGGATCCTATCTCGACCCTTTGTTGGAGATCTCTTCCTCTGTCTACAATAGCTACATGCTCGTGCTCTGTAGTTTGCTACCCCAATATTACATTCCTAATAACTTCTATTAGAACTCTTACGAGATGTCATGTTCCTAAAAATGTTTAAAACAATTATGTGCATGAAACATCTAAACTATATAGACTATATGATTCTGAATTGTGTTTAACTAAAAAGGGTTAATTATGTTCTTGTTACTTGTGTTTGTTGGAGATAATGCCCATAGACACGACATTGGGCCTATTAGGTCGCACACAAATTTTAATCAAAAAGCAAGAAATAATATTAGAGGGTTTAAATAAGTAATCAACTAAAAGTATTAATTAATTACTAGAAGGCATGATTGGTCCTTAGTCTAAACTTATTAGGGTTTAGTACATGGTACGGTACTACCAACCAAATTTGTATATTTGGTACGTTATTACCAACCGATTGTAATTGGTACCAGTTAAGTTAGTATCAATTTAATTTGTATGGTTGATACATTTGTTGATTGGTTTAATTTGGTATAAAAATGACCGGTTAGACAGTATTTTGCCGATTGAGAACTTGAGATCAATCATGGACTTCGGCTTTTTTTCATTGAAAGAAGAGCATACCGTATTAAATTTGAACCGACTTGATATTCCTAAGAACTAACTTTAAAATTTCTATATAAACAAGACATTTTGGAACTTCTTATTTTAAGTAATCAAAATGTGTTTTTTTTTCCAATTTTGGAGGATGTGAATTTGATAGTTAGGTCTTTTAGGGGGCGTTTGGTTCGCAGAATGTTTTTGGATGAAATGGAATCTGTCAAAGGAATTTGACTTCGAAGGAATTAGAATGAAATGTTGTCAAGTTTGACCACCTGTTTAGTTGGCAGACAATGTAATGGAATTTGTTAAGAAATTTGAATCTATTTGTTTGGAATGGATTTCAATTCCATCAATTTGTTAGCGGCTAGGGTTTTATCTTTTAGTAAGGGTATTTTTGTCATTTCAAAATACTGGTTGGAATGGATTTCAATTCCATCACTTTTGTGAAGGAATGATCAAATCCACATTTAAGGGAATGTTTGGAATTTAATTCCATTCCATGGGTAACCAAACGTCGGAATGGAATTTGGTCAACGAAATTGATCATTCCAATTCCATTTGATTCCATCGGAATCCGACGAATCAAACGCCCCCTTAAAGTACTATACATTTATGCACAAAGTCTTAAAAACAATTCATAATGCATTAAGTACTATTACTTTATGCATTTAGTCTTAAAATTTTTTAATCTACAATTAAAATAACATATAGTATAAGTTACCAATGCACATTATTACCTTTTCTTTTCATGTTCCGAAGATGCTTTTGACACCTTTCACTCATGTCTTTACCCTCTCGTACCTCTATGTCTTTTCTCCATCCCCCAAGGTGTGATTCAAAATGATATTCACCATGAGTCATTCATTTATCTCTCATTCAATTGTTCTAGAACTCTCGGTCTTGCTCTCGATCTCTTGATTCTTTGCTCTTGGTGTAAATCGAACACATTTGTGGAGTCATTTAAATATATTGGATTTTAAATATATATGAATTTTAAATATATTGGATTTTAAAATGTCATACAATTTTTTTCATTGATAGACTGTAATTGTAACCATAACTTTTATTTATTCAAATTGTATTAATATGTAAAGATCAAATGTAGCTTATATCATCATTAAATCTTCTTTAATAAAACCAGTGAAACTTCAAAATCGTTAAAATTCACGGCTCCCGCCGCATTGTGCGGATATATAACTAGTCTATAAATAAGACATAAACTCGATAATATGATCGATAAAATACTTTTAGTATTTTAATTATGTTTTAACCACATATATGGACATTGGGACTGTATAAGATTCTACTCCTCGAAATTAGTCAAACAGACATAAAAAACCTGGATTGAACACTTGTATATATGAACTTATGCCGCAACAACAAACTCGAGACAAAATCGTAGGCAGTTCAAGACGAATGATTCTTTCACAACCAGTTGACTTGGAATGGTAATGACAAGCTAAAAACCCAAAAATAGACCTAAAAACCTTCTAAATTCTTATTGTATGTTAAAAACTGATATTTTTAAGACAAGAACGTATCCAAGAAATATATAAATACAATTAATGATGCTATTGTTCAGGGGTGGATGGCCATTAGGGCATGGCCCTTGGCTTTTTTTAGATAGAGTGAAGCATCTCCAGTCTATTATGGCTTTAAGTATAAAATTCTTTTGGACCCCTCCATTATTACTGATCCAGTCCATTCGTGTTTTGTCCCTGCTATTGTTTATGTGTGTGTGTGTGTATATATATATATATATATATAGAGAGAGAGAGAGAGAGAGAGAGTTCGTTTCAAATGCAACTCATCACATTTGTACAATCAATGCAACCTAATAAATTGAGATATTTATGGAAATGATGAGAGTTCATTTATTATGATTTGAATATTTATGAAAGATGAATAGAGTTCCTTAATTATGCTCAATACTTTCTATTAGGAACAAATCAAAACTTCTATGAAATCACATATTTATCAAATTAAATGGACGGTTGAGATTGAGTTGTAGTAGCTGTATAAATGTAAATGGTTTGTATAATTACTCACCTCTCTCTCTCTCTCTCTCTATATATATATATATATATGGTATATTTCAAATACAACCATGTTCATTTGTACAACCAATGCAACCTAATTAATTAAGATAATTATAGAAATTATGAGAGTTCATTTATTATGATTTGAATATTTATGGAAGATGAATATGATTCATTAATTATAATCAATGATTTATATTAAAAACAATCAAAACTTCTATGAAATCACATATTCATCAAATTATATTATAAATGTATATGGGTTCTGTAAAAACCCACCTCTATCTATGTATACAGATGCATTCAAATAAAACATGTGCCAAACGTACACCCAAGAAACATTTACTAATAATAATTAAATTTAAAAAAAAGGAAAAAACAACATTACATATAAGCATGCATGATAAGAAAAATGTAAATGTAATCTCTCACTTCTCACGTTTAATAATTCAAGAAAGCCATGGCAACCACCAAGAAAGTCATGGGTGCCACTGCGGTGAAAATTGGAGCTCCACTACTAGGCGGTGGTGGAGTGCTGTTGCCGGAGGTGATGGTGGGTGGCGATGGTGGGCTGGAGTCTGGAGATGAAGTGGGTGGGCATGGGGCATCAGGTGTTGCCGGAGTTGGTCTTGTCATGGGAGGACTTGGGGTGGTGGTTGGTGGAGCTGCCGGAGTTGTCGACGGAGGAGTGGTGGTACCGGCGGGTGGAGACGTTGATGGCTAACTTCTGACCAATCTGGCAATGACTTGTGAAGGTGCAGATGTAATAATGGCTGCCGGCGGTGGTCAAGGTAAGGGTGGCGGGGCCGGTGGTGGCCAAAGATATAGGATCAGTAGCGTTGCATGGGCCGTACGCCGCCTCTGAAACCTTTGCAACGTCATGTGCTCCATTGTTGAAGTTAAAGACGAGAACGTCGCCGACGGTGAAGGTTTGACGAGATGCCCAAGTGGTGTAGGTGGCAAGGTCGCCGGAAGGAATGGTCCATCCGAGAGTATCTCCGACGACGTGGCTAGTCTGCGCCACCGTGCCGTGAAAGTGCATGGTTGCGATGGCCATCATGACCATGAACACCACAAGATTCGAATCAAAACTTGCCATTTTTGAACCTTGAAGAAATGTGTGTTTTCAAGTATTAATGATGTGAAATTGTGGATGGAGATTTGTGTATTTGAGATTGGTATTTATAACAAGAGCATTAAATGCTTTTATATTTGGGGTTTACTTTTTTATTTTGTGAACATTACAACTAATTCAATGGATGAAGTTTTACGTTATCAACCATAAGGGATGTATTCGATTGATTTGAGTTTGAGCTTCAAAGGTCAAAAGTGTCTCGAGGTACTAAGTTCGAATTTAAGAAGAAATAAAAATCTCGTTGTGGCCACAGAGGTTCAAATGTGATGACTTCGAGCTACCTGTAAAGCGGATAGTCGTTCTAGGATTAGTTAGTTCGCAATAGAGATTGTGAGTTTAAGAGAGGATTTCTATGAACGAAAAATTTTATTCATCAAATTGTAATTGTTTGTATTTCTAAAAACCATAATTGTCATGATCATTGGAATCAGACCGTTTCCGACATAACGTCTTGGGCAATAGAAGTCAATTTCTATGTTATTAGAAGTCATATTTACAAAAAACTCGAGAACCTGAAATGAAAGGTTTTCTTTGTGGTCCTTATTTAGACTTTCCTTTTTCGCATATACTTTTTACACACACACACACATATATATATATATATATATATATATATATATATATATGATACAGAATTTCGTTCGACATACAACTAACCAAATCATAATATGTTAACGAACATTTCATCTGTTTTAATTTATCTTGCAATTTTTTTTTCAAAATATCATATTAAAATGTATCCTCGACTAAAATGAACATGCATACATACATACATACATATATATAGGCGAATAATCGTGTAGGAAAGA